GCAAGGAGCTTGATCAGGTGGGTCTTAGTTTCCAAAGGCTGCTGTAACACAGTACCACAAACTGGGTGGCTTAAAACAACAGAAATAATATTCTCTCACAGTTCTGGAGGCTAGATCTGAAATTAGGGTGTCAACAATGTTGATTCCTTCTGCGGGCTCTGAGGGAGAATCTGTTCCATGTCTCTCTCCTAGCTTCTGGTGGCTTCCAGCAATCCTTAGTGTTCTTTGGCCTATAGATGCATCACTCTGATCTCTGCCTTCATCTTCACATGGCATTCTCCCGTGTGTCTCTTCTTCTCTTTTTATTAGGATACCAGTCGTATTGGATTAGGGTCCGCCCTACTCTAGTATGACCTCTGTTAATGTAGCTAATTACATCTGCTGGGTACATGGATATATTTCGAAGATAGGCCTTTTACAGAAATGAATGTGATTTTTCCTGGGTTATCAAAGGTTTTGCATCCAGTGAGGGAAGCAGGTCTGAAATGAATTATTTCAGCACACAGTGGGAAGAGCAGTGGTAGAGATCTAGAGGAGAGTCAGGACCTGGAAGTCTTTCTGAGAAGGAAATGGCAAAAGGTAAGCTAGAGAAGTAGTTTGAGGCCGGACCGTGGAGGGTCTCGTGGGCTACATTAGGAGCTTGGACTTTAACCTGGAGTGGATGGAGAACAGTTAAACGGTATTACCTAAGGAGACAGTGCATTCTGATTTGTGACCTAGATTCTTTAAGTAACTCTAGTGAGCCTGAGAAAGAAGACTTTAAGGGGTTAAAATGGAAGACAAAGAAACCAGTTAAGATATTGCAGTTGTCCACAGCAGAGATAATAAGATAATAGCTAATGTTTACTAAGTATTTACTATACATCAAGCAAGGAGCCCTGGTGGTGCAGTGGCTAAGCACTCAGCTGCTCATGGAAAAGTCGCCTGTCTGAACCCACCAGCTGCTGCACAAGAGAAAGATGTGGCAGTCTGCTTCCATAAAAATTACAGCCTTGAGAACCCTACCGGGCAGTTCTGCTCTGTCCTGTAGGGTCGCTATGAGTCGGAATCAACTCACCGGCAATGGGTGTACATCAAGCACCATTCTAAGCACTTTACATGTATGAACTCAATGAACCTTCAGATCAATCCTAGCAGGTAAACCAGAACCAGGTGCTTTTGAGTTGATTTGACTCATGGCGCCACTTTGTGTGTCGGAATAGAACTGTACTCCGTCAGGTTTTCAGTGTGATTTTTCAGAAGTAGATTGCCCCAGACCTGCCTTCCAAGGTGGATTTGAACCATCAACCTTTCCGTTAATAGTTGAGCGCTTAACTGTAGACATTATTATTTACCCTCGTTTTACATACAAGTAGCCTTGAGCACCAAGAGGCAAGTAAACTTGCCCAAGTTCACAAAGCTCACACAGAGCTAAGCAGGAGGCTAGATTGTTGTACCAGGTACTCTGGCTTGAAAGTTCAGGCTCTTAATCGTGATGCTAGACTGCCTGTCATGAAAATAAGAGCCCAGAGGTTTAGGGGCAATAATGGGGCAGATCTCTTACATTTTGTCCCAAACTGAATTGTTGGCCATAATTTTGCATTAGTTTTATAGCAGTATCCATCAGAAACCCACCCTCCTATCTCCTTTTCTTCTTACTTAGAGCTTGATTCTCTTTTGGCACCCATGTCTCTTTCTTTGCACTCCCATGCTGTGTCTCTGCAGCAATGCAATGCAAAGAGCAGATGTGTAGGGTGTATCTTTGGACAAAATAATATTATGGAGTTATCACCTTGTCAGGTAACCCAAGACCATGCTTTCACCTTGTCTCAGAATTTCTTACTATGGGGGAAAACATCAGACTTGGTGTCCATTGGTTCTCTTTTCCCCCACAACTTTTGTTTGGAAATAGCTCGAATTAAATAAATTAACTTACTTTGCCACTGGAACATCGGTACATATGGGATTGTTGTGAAATATACTGGTATCTGGGGAGAAAAGTGTAACTTTTGACTAATTACTCAGAATACAAACACAAACTGTAAACAGTTAAATATATAACTGTTACTTTTCTAACTGTCGAAATGTGGAGAATTTGAGTCATACAGTGGGTTTATAGAGAAAACAGTGTCTGGACAATGTTCAACTTAGTTTGCCAAAGAAATGTCAGCTCTGCTGCCGTCCTCTGATACCTAACCCTCAGGGCAATCTTATTTTCTTCTCTGTTTAGATTCAAGGAGGTATTGAGGCTCAGTGTCTTTTCCATGTGGTTGTTAATGGTATTATTACATTTTCATAAAGCCCAATACTTACCGTACCTTAGGCCAAATGTACCTTAGCCTAAAAAGCAAATAGAAGCTTCTAGCCCTGCTGAGCATTCAAGCCTAAAGCATGACAGAGGGAAAGAAAAATAGCAAAAAACAGATTGCTCACGTTGTGAGAGTTTTAGCAAAAAAGAAACCACGTAGATATCACATAGCCCTCAGGGGCAGGGCAAGAGAGCAGCCTCAGGGAGTGTTGTCTGGGTCTCTGTTTGGCCAAGAGACAGAGGAAGCACTTGTGACTGAAGACAGTGGTGGGAGGAGGAAAGGGAACAGCTCAAAGAAGGTTACACAGACTCTGCACCAGAAATGAGGGGGATGAGTTTTATTTGGGAAAGCCGGGAGGGATTTGAAGTGAGTTGATGGCCACTGAGTAAGCAGGTTTCAGAAGCGCCATATTTTCCACAGTTTAAGTACGATAAACGTTAAGTTCAGCATTATTAACACGTGCTTGAGAACCTCTAACAACCAGTCCTACCCAGCTCTTCCTTCTCAGCGCACGTTCAAGGTAAGGAGCGTTTTTATTTTTGAAACCCAGGTGCACAGTCAGGGGAAGGGAGAAAACAGCAACACCCGTCTCTTTAATGAGCATTGCGATTGAAAGAGAAATTAACATCACCCTGAATTTTGTGTGATGTCAGTTAAATGGAGGTATTTTATAGCACTTTACAACAAATTAAAATCAACTAAATTGAAAATAAGCCGAGCAGCTGGGATAAGTAATCAGGTAAGTGGCCAGTTTTGCTAATTTTGCTTTGAGCTGAAGATAGAATTTGAATTTCTTAATGTCCCTGAGGTGTGAGAAACACAATTGGAGAGCATGGTTTCTAAGATGATTGTTTTAAGATGCTTGCAACTCAGTCTTGCCCTCCAGTGTATAATTTGCTGAGCACCGTTCCTTGGAAATCAGCCCTGGTACTGTGTGTACCAGTTTAATAGTGGAGGACAGAACCCTGCTTTTGGCTGAATATTAGCGAGCAGACTGGAAATAGATGACCCAGAAGTGGGTGGTAAATGATCCACATTAACTGAGAGACAACTGAGAGACTGTAATGAAAGGACTGAAATTCATATGAAGACTTTATGGCTACTCTGCATCAGCCCAAATCAGAGGAACTACTAGATGTCTGATGAATTAAGAAAATGGGTACTGTGTTCGTTTCCAAAATTTGCATGTAGTCAGAATGCCCTGACGTAATGAATGCCGGCTTTAGTGGGCAGGATTTTACAGCAGAGCTTTTCACTCCATGACCCAGTGTTTCTTGCATGAATTACTTGCTGATTTTAGTATCTAAAAAATGCTCAGGAAATTGTCACAAAGGCCAGAGGAAGGTTGATGATAACTATAATGGGGTGATGGCCTAGGATGAACCTTGTGTGTATGTGTGTTTGCTTTTGTGGGCAAAAGAAAGAGGAGAAAAAGTTGACGGGAGGGACATTAGTAAAAATAAAACTTAGTAAACCACTCAGAATTCAAGTATTAAGAGGTCAGCAGATGAAGATAAAATGATGCTTGTAATTATGGTTTATAAAGAGAAATAGGCCAGATTGAATATATAATTTTCGTTTTTTTCCTCCTCTGCATCTGAGGAATTAAATGCAATAAACTAATCTGCAGAAAATCCATGTATCTAGGTTGTTTTAGGTCAACCTTAGAGAAAAGTAAAGGTTGCACAGATTTTTTTCAGCTCTCTACTTATAGACTTTCTACTTGAAACACTTTTACCTTAAAATACTTTATTTTAAAAATATGGCAGTTTTAGGTAAATTTCTTCAGATACCTATTTACTAAAGCAACAGATAATTTTCCTTCTTCTCTAATTTCTTCAATAGTAACTTCCCCTCCCCTAGCCAACAGCCTTTACTTGACCTTCAGTACTTTAAGTTTGGGAAGGACAAAACTTTAAATTTCCATCATCATTACCTTCTGATAATTCTGTTCATACTTAGTACCCCACACCAGGGAACTAAGCAGGAAGAACTGCCTTCTCTACTAGAGTATCAAATATATCATGACACCCCAGAGAGCAGAATGGGTCTCCAATGAACCTGGCTAATACTGAAAGCTTAATCAGTGGTGAGCTCCAAACTGACAGCCTCTATTGCTTGACCCTGTTCAGCTGACTCAGGTATTGTTCAAGGTGGCACTTCGCCGGTTTGAGAGATCGTTGTTCTGTGTGAAAGCATTAAAAAGTATGCCTGAGTCATAGAGGTTAACCACCATGTTTTGTTGCTTTGGTAGAAATGGGTGCGGAGAACTGAGTGAATTTATAGGACAGGAGTTCAAATGTGCTGACCTCTTCTTTCCAGAGAAGCTGTTCTTTGCAATACCTTCCCTATTTGTTTTGTACTGCCCTCTCCTGGCTCCTTTATTAAATTTCTTATTAATGAATGTTTAGAAACACTGGATGCTGCTGCCATTTCCACTTCTCATTAGAAAGCAATTTCTCATTTTACTGTATGAAATGTGGCGTTAACAGTGATTAATTCCGATGTGCATAGATACAAGATTGCTGAAGCTATCCGTTGTAGACAGTATCTATATGAGAGTAACTTGGTCGTTTATATGGGCTTTGCAATGTCTGCAACAGAAGTTATTTTGCAGTTTATTCATTAGTCAAATTTTCTCAATCATTGGGTGAAAATCCAGTGTTATTGGAAATAACGTGGACACTTTTTCTCTGTGTTTGTATTTTACAGTGGCTGCTAATTTACAGAAGATTGTAGATGATCCCAAAGCATTAAAAACATTGACATTTAAGTTGGTAAGTGAAAAGCTATGGAAAGAAGGTGAATGTTTTACCATGCTGTGCCAGCAAGTAATAATAATAGAGCTTCATAACCTACTGTGTAGTTTTGTTGTTGTTCTTTTCCTTTGGGATCCATTTTTGCATTTGTCATTTGCCTCATCAAGATTTGGAAACATTTTCTGACCATGACCAGAAATTTCCTCTTCAATGAGCATATCTTACTTACCCTTTTACAATTACATCTTTAACTAAGAATGGCCATTTGAGAATCTTGTACCATTTTGCTTCCAGTTTGTATGGCAAGTTGACCATGTAGACAAAATTAAACTGAATTCAAAGCAACAGTCTTAATAAAACTTCCCTGAGGTGAAAGCCAAATGGTTCTAACTTTTAAAAATAGAGGCTGATCGTTGGGGAAATGGTTTAGATAATTGGAAATGATTGCAGACTAACTCACCAAAGCCTAATAAACAAAGACATAACATTTTCACTCCACATTTCAAATCACAGTAACAGAGTCTTTTAAGGAGTAGATGTTGAACAGGTGTTCTGCTCTAGCAGATTTTAAACTTAGGATCTGGAGTGGCACAGAAACCCAGAGTAGTGGGCATTGTGAGACTAGGACAGGTGGAGGCGAGGCCAGAAACGGAGAGAAGTCCAAATAAGCAGAAGTGACTATTTTCCTGAAAGGTTTAGCAAATAGTACATTGCGGTCTAATAAATAGCTTGTTTTAGAATTATAAATTAATATTACCAAGGGCCAGTCAGAATGCTGCAATTTAAAATCTAGATGGCCAACACTTTGCTGTAAACGACATATATGGATGATTTGCCTTTTTTATTTCTTGTGAAAATTAAATGGAAAATGTGTGTGGCCAAAAATGCTAAATGGTTAGTGACAGTAAATGTTAGCCTAATGCTAATTAACTTTTTGGGTCTAGCTTCTCATCTAATTTCAGATGGCGAGGCTGTGTGATAAAAGAGCACAAAGATTTTCACAGACAGGATTTATCTGAAGAAATTAGCTTTGTTTTGATAATAAACAAACATTTTATTCAGACTTAGAGTGATAAATTAGCAAATTGAAAAATTCATCTTCTAGCTTGGAACTACACTGTCACCTCTATTATGTTTCTAATGCACCTGCAGTTTTGAAAATGTTTCATTTATGTGAGAATATATTTATCAGAAAATGGCACCCTGTGTTGGCATTTCAAGTCAATACACATGTCTTTTTACTCACTTTTTATAATATAAGAAAGTTAGAAATTGTACCATATCCAGAATGTTTTTCTTGATGTTGAATATGGAGAGAGAGAGTTAAAAGAGTAAAACATTTGTGCCTGCTTATTCCCATTGTCTCTAAACTTGCTTACCTATAAAAAAGGCCCCAGCCCTTTGCTACTACTGAAAGTTTTATAACAAACAGTACCTACTATACTATCTCTAGATAAACAGTAAGCCTCTGCCTCATCTCCTACTCTAATCAATCTATAAATTCTCTGCATTCTGTCTCTCTTGATTCTGACCTCTTCTCTTCACCTCCACTTCAGGCACCCTAGTAGATAGAATTCTCTCCGTATTTTCCTAGATTCTTGCATAGCCTCCTAAACTGATCTTCCTGCTTACAATCTTGCCAACCTATGGCTCTGTTTACATGCTGTAGCTGTAGCTGGGGTAATCCTTCCGCAGTTCCAAAATGCTTCAAACACTTTAGTGGCTTTCCAAGACTGTCCTCTTCTAAAACTCAAGCCCTTGAGGCCTTCCCTGCTCAGACCTCCCTTTAGATGTCCTGCCTTAACTTTATCTCCTGTCCTCCCCTTCCCTTCCTTACCCTCTCCCCTGCATCCCTCTTTCTCAATTGCTGTCTCTCCATCTCTCTCCTCCCTGCCACCGTTCCACACTCCCTCTCTTCTCACCCTTCCTCCTTTTCCTATTTTCATCTGCTCGTCCTTTGCATATGTTTTACTTCCTAATAGAATATTCTTTTCTCCCAACTTCCCCTGGCCTCCTATTTGTCTCACTGACTCCTAGGAATGTTTCAGTTTTCTGCTTAGATTTCACTTTCTGTAGGAAGCTTTTTCTGACATGCAGTCCTGGCTTAGGTGCTCCTCCCGTATTCTCCCCACAAGGGTGTTCATATTGTATTGAAATTGTGTGCTTTCTTAGTTATATCTCTAAGAAGTCTAGCGGCTCCAAGAGAGCAGACAGTCTTAGGTCTCCAGTGCCTAGTAGCACAGTGGATGGCACAAAGCAGGCACTTAATAACGATTAATATATATTGGAATAACACAAGCCTCGCATAGGAAAAGTTTAGCCATCATTTTTCTTTTACGTTTGCTTTAATCTCTGTAGATTGTGACTTCTGCTTCATGCCCTCTTTTCAGAGAAACCAAAAAAACCCAATGCTGTTGAGTCAATTCTGACTCATAGCAACCCTGTAGGGTTTCTAAGGCTGTAAATCTTTACAGAAGCACACTGCCACATCTTTCTCCCACGGAGCCATCAGAGTCAATCGCTTTAACCACTGCGCCATCAGAGTTCCTTAAAATACCATGGCCTTGAGTGCAGAAACAACAAGAATTGCTGCCATTTATTGTGCATGCAGTATTTGCCAGCTACACATGATTCATTTTACATACTTTATCTCAGTTAACTTAGTCCTCACAGTCCCATAAAATGGTGATATCATTAGGTCCACTTAATGCATTGGGAACCCAAGATGGTTCCCAAGTTGTGTTAACTTGCCCAGAATCACATAATATTGAAGCTGCAATTCCAACTGTGGTCTAACCTCTAAGTCCATACTCTTAACAAGTACTCATTCTTAGAGGCAGGCCCCTGCAGTCTTACGCTTTTACAGAGTTCTGTTTCTTTGTGAGGAATCCATGGGTAGTGAAAACAGTTAACTTGCTCAGCAGCTAACCAAAAGTTTGGAGGTTGGAGTCCACCCAGAGGCATCTAGGAAGAAAGGCCTTGCAGCCTGCTTCCAAAAAAATCAGCCATTTAAAATCCTATGGAGCACGGTTCTACTTTGACACACGTAGGATCCATGAGTCCAGTTAGACTTCACGGCAACTGATTTGCTTTCTTTGCAGACTGATCCTTTTGGATGACTGGATGGATTTACATTGGTCAAGACTGAATCTCATTTGTACCTTAGCCAGATTGAATAATATTGTCCTGTCCTCGGCACAGGAGACTCCTAGAGGCAAACCTATACCTTGTTTTCCCTTCCCCCTGCAGCTTTCCAGTGTAGTAATCTGCCATTCCCAGTAAATGGAAGTTGATGTCTTTTTCCCCACAGATAGTTAAAGATGTTAAATAAAACCAAACTCAGGAGCGACTTTCTAGTTCTGTCACTTAACTTTCTGTGCAACCCTCATTAAAACCTGAGAGGGTTTCTTTGTTGTTATCAGCCGCCAGCCAGTTTGAGATCCACTTGACAGAGTTAATTTGAACTGATTTTTGGCCTAATCTTCTGTAGGACACTAACATCCTGATAAAACCGCAGAGATTCAAATGCATTCACCTTCATTCATCAATTTGGTTATTTTGTTGAAGAATAAAAGATCAAAGTATTTCAGCAGCATTTTTCCTCATAAGCTGCTGCTGCTCATGGTCTTTTTAGCTCTCAGCTGTTTATCATTTATGTTAATCTTGGAGCTTTCATTGCTTTCTAAAGGAGTCAGGGGCCTGAAATTGTCTAAAGAACCAGTAATGTCTTGAAATATTGGCATTGGTACTCTGGTACCACCACCTATCTGTCAGTGGAGACTTGTGTGTTGCTGTGATGCTGAACAGGTTTCAGTGGAACTTCCAGATGAAGACTGACTAGGAAGAAAGGCCTGGTGATCTACCTCCAAAAAATCAACCACTGAATCTGTGGATGATAACATCCAGTCTCATTGTGCTTGGGGTCACTATGAGTGGATGATAACATCCAGTCTCGTTGTGCTTGGGGTCACTATGAGTGGATGATAACATCCAGTCTCGTTGTGCT